TCAATGGAAAAAATGAAGTTGGTGACTCCCACCTCATTCAAGGTATGTAAGTAGTCAAACAACCCAGATGGGTTATGTGCAATCTGGCACCGGTGGAGAAAGCAAAGGCATAAGAGTGCCCCTAGAAGTGGAGGGTTTTCCTACCTACCTATCTTAGACAGGGTCTTGGGGCCATGGAACCAGAGAAAGGGGCAATGGGAGAAGGGCATCCCTGGTGGCAGCAGGTCTTACATCACAGTTATTTGTGTACTTGTCCTTTTCCATCAGAATGAAGGATCTTTGAATGAAGATCTTTGTAACCCCTAATACCCAACACAAAATTCTGCACAAAATGGCTCTTAACAAGGTGTTTACTATTGATCCCAAGTGGCTCTCTATGATAAAATCCCAACTTCTAAAGAATATTCTCCAAGTAATGTCATAAAGCTGCAAATCAGGAAACACTAAGAAATCAGAAACACCAAAAATGGCAAGTGATCTAAAGGGCAATGGAAATCTGAATGGTGGATGTAAGGTTGCAGCCTATTACCAACAATGACAGGCTTGTGAAGAATGTCATAACAGACATTAATGAGGACATGTATGACCAGAGAAGTTAGGGCCAGTAGCTCTGAATTTTAAAGAACCAGAGGAAGGCCTCCATTTCACTGGGTGGATCTTTCTGAAGGATTTTTAGGAAAGATAATAGACAAGCATAATAATACACGAAGAGACAACGTGGAAGGACTGATTTCTACCTAGTGGAGAAAGTTTGCAACTATCAATGAAATCATAGATGTGAGTAACTCAGCATAAATACTATCACATAATCCAAAACCATTTCACCTTTTATATTTCTAACTAAATTGCTTTCAAAAAGTCTTGCATAAATGAGGACTGAACTACAGTATAGAGAGCAATTTGCAGCCAGAAGTCTCAGGTTCAAATTCTGGCTCTCTTTCTTACCACCTGTATCACCTTGGAGAAGTCACCCTTCCCAGGCTTTCAGTGTCCTCATCTGCACAATGAGGGGGATTGGGTCTCCAATGCCCCTTTCAGTTCTAAATTCTAGGACCCTCTGATCCAAAATTCTTCAGTAATGGTGCAGAACAAAGGGAGAGAGATCCAGCAACCACAAGGCAATTCCTCCAACAGCACGGAAAAGCAGCAGAAAAAACATTGGCCCCAAAGTCAGGCAGGAGACTGGGCTTCAGCTCTCAGCTGAATCACTGACTAGCTGAACAGCCTTAGGCAAGCTGCTTCATCTCTCTTGGTCTCAGTTTCCTCATCTATAAAATAAAAAAGTGGCATGGCTGGGTTTTTTTTTTTATCATCCCTTCCAGCTCTGGAATTCTATGAGTCCATGAATCTCTCATAAACCTTCCAAAAGTCAGTTCTCTGAAACAACAGGGTTCTGGGATCCATCCCCTTACCTTCCAGACTCTAGCAATGAAGCCACACACAAAAAAAAAATGTGGTGAGGAATTAAGAGGACACATCCTTACTAAATTCCCTGGAGAGTTAATTATTGAATATCTTACATTTAGGACCCTAAATTGGGATGACATATTCAGTGACAAATGCAATTCACACAATGAAGGGGAAAAATCACCTCCCTTTTGGCCAGAGATGTTTGCAGGCATGTTTTCTGAGCTCATTTCCAGTCTCTGGGCAAATCATTTTTCCCCCACTGCTGAGCCCATGGACCTCACAGAGCCAGTGGGACCTGCAGGATGTCTCTGGCAGTAACATAGCTAAGCAGTCCAAGCCCCCAGTGGAGCAATTTGGTGACTACGGCAGCTGAGTAGGCCAGAGCTTCCTGCTGCCACAGGGCTGCTGCATGAACTACCACGGCTTGGTAGATAAAATCCAATTGACTGCCACTTACATAAACGTAACAGGAAGTTTCTAAATGGCTTCTACCGTGTCTTGAGGCTGTTACCTTTCCGTTTCTAAACTAACAGCTGGAATGAACACAAACAGCACCTCATCAGAGCCGCTGAGCACAGCGGCAACGGTCCAAAGGTATACGGGAAAATTCCTGCCAATCTTGAGAATATTTCACATTATGAGTCCCTTTCTGCATAAATATTAAACAGCTGGAATAGCTATTAGAAAATATGTAAGTCCTGCATAGCGTAACACCGATATAGCCAGAGGAAGATTTGCAAGCAAAAAAAAAAAGTGTCGTGTGCTTTGATTAAGATTTACTTGTGTAAATTTTGAGCAACGATGCTCTACTGAATTTTACAGACTTGTTTTGCATTGCTCTGCCACTAAACATCTGGTAAAATATTCAGAATCTCTGTAAAATAGGTCATCTCTCCAAACTCGTTAGGCCCAGTGCCTGCAATGCTGAAAGAGCCCTGGCCCACAAGAAATCCTCCCAAGGGAAGCTTTTTTCAGAGGCAAACATGTTTTCTCTACTCTTTGTGAGATTGGCTCTTGGTAGGGGGCAGTGGGGGAGAGTCCTTATTCTTTCTTCCCCTTCTAGGAGGAAGTGTCGTGTGTGATCCGAACAGCAGGCTTTTGCTTATACTTCCAAATCTATTAGGAAATGAACATAACAAGAAAAACAAATACCGACAAGAATTAGGCCATTGCTATATTTCATCTGTTTAGTAACCTGAAGTTGCAATTTTTAGAAAAAGATTACCTTTTAAATAACAGATTCATTATACTACATGGATGAATGCCATGTTTTTGGGTTAGGAGTGTCACTCAGCATTAATGGAAAGCACTCATAAATAATAATAATAATAATAATAGCTCCCATTTATATGGCATTTTAAGATTTCCTTCACAAAAGTCCTCCTCTGATGCCTCAGCATAGGGTGGAAGAGACTATGGGCTCTCTCCTATTGAATTCCTCTACCTACCATTTAAAGCCCAACCCAAATGACCCCTCTGCTTTGAAGGCTTCCCTGAACCCCTGTCCATAAAGATCTTCCCCTTTAAACTTCACATGGCACTTTGTTTCTCACATCTTGAATGCACTTATAGGATGCTATGTATAATAGGTTTTCATATTTCTATCTTACTGTCCTCAGTTATCTCCCACCAACTGGACCGAAAGCTCCATGAGGACAGAGACTATTACACATTTTTATCTCCCTTAGAACAGTACTCTCTACAGGAGAGGCACTTTAAAAAATGTTCACTGAATAAATGAATGAATGCTAGGAAGAGCATAAGCTCTAGCAAGTCATGCAAAGCTAAGGGTGGTCTTAGAAACAGACTGTATTGTTTCTTGTCCTAGGACTAACCTTGCTGAGTGAGGAGAGGCTCATTAGCAGAGACAGGAACGTAGTGATTGAAAAGGGGCAAAGCACGCACAGAATCACACAGCACTTAGACCATGTATCAGCATTAATTTGACTACTGATGACCAGGGTACGGTCTCCAGATTGAAACACAGTCATATTGACATAAATGAAACCAGAAGACGTGAAGCTACTGTTTGATGGAAAGGCGACTTTGAAGTCTACAAACCACTTTTCCCACAACAACACTGTAATGGTGGAGATATAAGAATTATTATCCCCATTTGACATGCAGAGATCCTGAGTCTTAGAGAGGGGGAAAGTGGTTTGGCCAGCAGTCACAGCCAGAAAGTGTCAAAGCTGAGATCATACCCATGTCTTCTGTATTTGTATCTGTATGTCCGGTGCTGTTTCTACTCCATTACATGTTTGACTTTCCTTGGATCTATATGTAGCTTCCACCAAACGAGTAGTATAATGCAATCACAGGTTATTTGTGGACCTCCTTTGAATGGCACAGATCCCTAACTCTGCCATGCATGGAATAAAATTCATTTCTACACCATGGCTAAATGAATTTTTCCAACTTGATATTTTACATCCATAACACTGGTGCTGACGACATTTTTGCCAAAGCCAAGATGCACTTTCTCAGTTGGAAGGTTCTTAAAGAGTTCCTACAGCCCACAGAGAATCCCAGAATCTGTGAGCTGGACGGGGCCATGGAAGCCATTTAATTGAACCCATTCCTAAGGCAGAAATACTCTCTGCAAACTGTGGGCAATAGTCACCCAATCTTTGCCGAGGACCTTCAATGATGGAGGACACACTACCTGCAGAGGCAGCTCACTTTCCTTCAAGAAAACTGTAATTGTTAGAAAGTTCTCCTTAAATTGAATCCAACTCTGCCCCCTGGTATATTCCACTGATTGCTCCTACATATGCCCTTGAGGACCAGTGGACAACACACTGGATTTGGAGTTGGACTAATCTTTGCAGTCTCTAAATCTTATAATTCTACATCTGATTAATTTTTTCAAGTAACAGCTTTTCAGATACCTGAAGAAAGTGATCTTCCCTCTCATTTTACAAAGGACACTGAGACCCCAAAGTCATACCATTAGTGTGAAAAAGTACACGCTCTTCATATGAATGTCTATGGAAGTAAGGAACGTGACTTTAAGAAAAAAAGATGGTTATAATGCCTAAACTTATCACGAAAGAGTGAACACATGAAGACTTTTCCTTCTCCCAGCTCACAGCTCCTGTTCACCAATTACACATACTCCATCATTAGGGTCCCCCTGAGAAATCTACCTGGTATTGGTTAACCAAACACAATGGTAACAATAAATCACAACTTCCCAGTGAAATTTAAGGATTACAAGCATATGGCTTTTCATCATCATTCTATAAACATTTTTAGAGTGTATAATGTCTATCTGGAAATATTCTAAGGGCAAGATAAGAAAGTAGAGTGGGGGTCACGGTGAAGGAGCAGCAGATCCAAGTTCAAAGCCCTGGTCTGACATTTACTAGTAACGTGGCTTTTGGCAAATACCTTCGTTTCCCTGAACCTCAATTTCTTCATCAATTAAGAAAAGCGCCAGAGAAATTTATCATCATCATTATTATTACTATTAGTGTCGAGAATTACCAAAAGAGAAAAACAGAGAAAGGGAAACAGAGACAGACACAAATAAGGTGATAAACACAATGCAGAATAAGAGACAGCACTTTCCTGAAGTTTCAACATACCTGATATCGCATACAAATTTGAGTGCTGGTACTCATAGTCAGTTCGCGTGCTGTTCCTGCCTCTGAAGGTAGCAGGAAGCGTTAAGGAGATATGCCTGAGGATAAGACAGAAGGATAAAAAGGAAAGGTTATGGGATTCATACACTCCTATATTTTAATGTTTAACCCAAGTGTCAAATGGCAGCCTATAAGAACTGGTCATTTGTTCTCTAGTCTCAGTCCACTTTTCACGCATGCTCTACAGTGCTGTCAGTTTGGTTTTTCTGTACAGGTTATGGTCAAATCACTCCTTATCTTGCCACTCCTCTCTCCAGCCCCTCTGCACAAAATCCATCAACGACTACTGAAACTTCAGGGTCTATCAAACACCTTAGCTTAGGTGCCTTGTGAGAGAGCTTCAGCCTTCTTTTGCAGCCTTATTTCACACTGTTCCTAGGCACACCTTCTATGTTCCAACTAAAATAAGGAGCTAGTTCAACATCCCAAATATTATTCACCTTTGTTTCTCTACATCTGTAATGCCTTTCTTTGCCTACTGATTCTGGCCCACCCTCCAAGATGAGCTCAAACTCCATGGAATTGTAATAAATATTTGTTGTCTTAAATTTGTCCATCCAGTTGGAAATTATTTCTGATCCCATTTTATTTTCTTCTTTGTATCTCTGCACATATATCTATCCCAAACCCCAACTAGCTTGAAAATTCCTTGAGGGAAGTTTCATTTATCTCTGTATTTCCTCCATTTGCAGTATGGCATATTGAACAGATCTTAATAATGCTTAATAAATGTTTGTCAAATGAATGAATCAATGATAGTAAAAAGGTACCATATCATAGCAATGATCTATATGGGAGGGAGACAATGGGGTGTAATGCAGAGAGCAGAGAAGTAGACAATGGGATGCTTGAGCTCCAGTCCCAGTTTTGCCAGTAACAAATTGAGTAACTTCAGGCAAATTACTTAAGTTCTCTGGTCCTCAGTTTCTTTCTCTGTAAAATAAGGGAGTTGTACTAGAAAATACCAAAAGTCTCTTCCAACAGAAAGATTCTATGATTCTTGTGTTTATAGAATATATCCCATGGGATGCTCAGCACCCACAGTCATGAATAACCAACCCCAGAAGTCTTACTGCTTCCCAGGGAAAAAAAGAAATTGGCATGTGTCGTTTTTCTACCTTTTTCCCATTTGGAAAAGAAACCCAGGAGAAAGGATGGTTTTGCTTCTTAGGATCTCACAGATGGGGCATCTAGTCAACTGACCTTACCAAAACACAGGCAACTAGATACAACAGAGCAGGGATCCTTATTCTGGAGTCTATAGAACCTCTAAGGTATCCATAGACAGATTTCAGGAGGTCCATGAACTTGGATGTGGAAAAAATATATCTTTATTTTCACTAATATCTAATTGAAATTTAGCATTTACTTGAATTATGAATACAAGAAACAAACATTATTCTGAGAAGGGATCTATAGGCTTCACCAGACTACCAAAGGGATCCTTGGCACATAACAGGTTAAGAACCACTTCAGTAGAGAGAGGCATTGTTGTATAGTGGAAAGAATACCGAGACTGGATTTGGGAGACAGTTCTGACACTTACCTGAAACCTATTAACCACAGACAAGGCATTTCACTGTGCTGAGCCATGGTATCCTCACCTGTCAAGTGAGGATGATACTCCCCACCTCACAGACTTATTGTGAGGAAAAACCCTTTGAAAACATTAAAGTGCTATGGAAGTGTGTGTTATTATTATTATTAACACACACACAACTATAAAGAGAGACAGAGAGCAATTTAGGAATCCCAATGAATGGCCCAAGGCAAGAAAGCATTTTCTTTGCCTCATGTTTACAGTGAGGTTCTAAGCATAGAGAGCACGTCAGAAAACTGCCACCCTCCAAAAAGGTTGCATTCTGCGTGAGGGAGACACAGACCTTCGAACAAAACAATTTTTGGAAGACCTCAGGCAGTGTGTAAACTGAAGATGCTGATGATGTAAAAGACTATTAGGACAGTAAACAAATTATGCAAACCAAGTTACCATGCCCAGCACAGTGCCTAACCCACAAAAGAAAATCAATCAATATTTATTGAATCTGTGTGAAACTGAACACTAGTTTAAAATAGAACACTAGTTTAAAAAAATATTTTCCTTAGCTGTAAAATGAAGGCATTGAACTAGGTGATCTCCCAGGATCTTCACAGCTCATAAATCTATGAGCTTATGATCCTAAGTTAAGTAGTTAGTTGGAGAGAGGATGCAGGGAGAGAGACACCTTTGGGAGGAAAAGAGTAAAGCAGAAAAATACCTCCTTGTGACTGAGGGGAAAGCCAGCACACAGTGGGGTTACTAGCAAGATGGCCAATGTGTCTTATTCTTTTCTTTCTCTTTTGCCATTTGTAGAAGAGGAAAGACAGGATATTGAGAAGATGGAAGCTGACAAAGCCTTCCCTCTGAAGAGAATAGTCTAGACAGAAGGAAAGACAATCTGTAGCTAAAAAAGTCAAGCCTGAGAGAGAAGCAGAGGAGTATGCCCATCCCAAACTTGACTAATGGCAAGGCTTTTAATTTTGAACTAAGATTCAAGGAGACATTACAGATTGGTAAGAAATGTACTGAATATGTACCTGAGAAATTTATTTCTTTAAAAAGTTGGTCTAAACATCACACCTGTGGGATGAAAATTGAGATTACTTAACAGAAGGAATTTCTCATCTTGAAGACCCAGCAAAGGATTCCAATATAGGCTGCCTTCTGTTTTGAGGGAATTTAACTCATGCAGTTTGTCTCAAAAGCTTCTCTTCCCCTTACCTGTCTGTTTCTATGAGGGGTACCACTATGCTTTCAGTTACCAAGCACAAAACTTTGGAGTCACAAATGACTCATCCCTCTTCCCAACACATCTCACCATTTGTCAAGTCCTGTCAAGTTTACTTCTACTATTCCTCACACTTGTCTCTTTCCTTCTACTTTTATGGCCACCATCACAGCAAGTTCTCCTCATCTCTTGCTTTTTGACCACTGTAACAAGAGACAGTTAGGTAATGAAGTGGAGTCTAGAAGACTTGAGTTTGAATGAATCCTACTTCAGACACATAGGGTTGGCAAGTCACTTAACCTCTCTCCACCTCAATTTCCTCATCTGTAAAATGGGAGCTAATAATAGTACTTACTTTACAGGATTACTGTGAAGAACAAATGCGATAACACACATAAACTAATTAATTAATTTGCACCTAGGAGCTATTTTAACAGCCTCCCAATTGGTCTGTTTGCCTCCAGTCTATTCCCTCTCTGATTTATCATTCACACTATTGCTCCAGTAAATGTCCTAACTCCAAACATAACATTTGTCTACTCAAACACTTTCGATGGATCCCCAGTGCCTCCATAATAGAGGATGAGCTCTCTATTCTGTCTACTACCTGGCATCAACTAACTTTTCCAGTCTGATGTCAAAGTACTGCCCTTCACACTTAACATTCCATTCCTGCCTTGCCTTCTCCCATGTCTGTGACTTTGACTATGCCGTACAACCCATGACTGGAACAGCTTCCCCATCCCTGCCTGTTAAAATCTTCTCCTTTCTTCAAGGCCCAGCTTATCATTCCATCTAAAAGTTATCCCTCTCACCTCAAATTTCCTGTTTATCTAGATCTCACTCTAACACATTCTCCCTTGTATCACAGTATCAGTCTATGTGTGTGTGTGTGGTGTGTGTGTGTGTGTGTGTGTGTGTGTGTGTGTGTGTACATCTTCTTTATTAAACAGCTCCTCACAGACAGGAACTGTGGAATAATGAAGAAAGAGCTGCCCTTGGAGTCAGGAGAGACCTGTATTTAAACTTTGCCTCAAGCACTAGTAAGATGTATGAACATGGGCAAGTAGCTTAACCTGTCTGAGTTTCAGATTTTTCACCAATAAAATGGAGATGACAATACCTATAATAATGTAGTGAAGATAAAATAAGGCAATTTTTAAAGTGCCAGTAATTATTATTTCATCTTTGATATCCCTAGTTCTGATCACAGTATCTTGTACGAGGCCAACATATAATAAACATTTGGCGAACTGAATTACATTTAAAACAAAAAAGCAAAATGGCACTTTGAAAGTCCCTATCTTAAGCACTCTCCTGGCAATGTCAGTCATTCCCACAATTTCTACATAGGTGATTCCTAATGCTACATATCCAGCCACAGTCTCTCTCCTGAGCGCCCACCTTTGACTAACAATCACTTGCAGGATATCTCCTTCTGGATATGCCCAGACATCCTAAACTCAACACATTCAAAACAGCATACCCACCGTCTCGCTCTTAGTCACTTGGTTTTGTAACTTCAGAGTTACCCTTCACTCTTCCTTCATTCACCCCTTACATCCAATCACTTGCCAAGTCTGGTCAAGTCTACATCCACAAAATCTCACTCATCCATCCCATTCTCTCTTCTAGCACTGCATCTCTGGCTGCCCTACTTCAGTCCCTCAACACTTTCTTGAATGGAATACTACAGTAGTTTCCCAATTGGACTCCCTACCTCTAGTCTCTCCCTTCTCTGATTCATCTTCCCTATAGCTACCAAAGTAATTTTACTAAGGTATAGGTTGAACAGATTCTCTCTGTTACATTTTTTAAGGAATATTAAAACTGTGCTCATAAATACCGAGTCAAACATATAAGATGGAGACATATGTTCACCAGAGTTGTTTGCCACTGACACGGTAGAGAGCCAGTGCTGCACAGCAGATGAGGAGGAATCCCCTCTGGTAGGTAGGATCTTCTAGATGTTCCTCTATGCAGTGACATTGTGCTGGCTCCATCAAGCCCCAGATCATAACAGAACATTCTATAAGAGACCCATGACCACTCAAAAAGAGTTTAGCCTAATCATTCATGCAGGAAAAATCAAGTCAATGAAAAATGTTTATTGCCTAAATTATGACATGTAGAGAGACAAACCATTTAGTTTATCCATCAATACATATGTCTGGAACAAAGAGAAAAAAGACTAATGAGTCAGACCCAGAATTAAACTGAAGGATGAAAGTGGGATGAATTGCCTGTAGGAATTGCAATATTCCCTTAAT